AAAGAAGCAGCCGAACTAGCAATCCTCAACAACTTTTTAAAGAAGCAGCCGAACTAGCAATCCTCAACAACTTTTTAAAGAAGCAGCCAAACTAGCAAGCCTCAACAACTTTTTAATTTTTACACCAGGAGCTAAAGGTCTGTTTCAGGAACTCACATCCCCAGCAATCGGCGGTTGTAAATTAAGCTGTACAGGGGGTCATACACCGCTAGATGGCAGTGTTGTGCATATATTGTATATGATTTGTCAGCAAGTAAGTGTCAAATTGAACTTGCGCGTTAAAATTAGCTTCCGCTAATATTTCTATTGCAGAAGCGCTTTTGAAGTTGCGGAGCTAAATATTTTCATAAGCGCTTTAGAAATTGCGGAGCTAATATTTGACTTAACGCTGCCCACCACTGCTCACTACTTTCTGTTTGATTCATAGTTAAACCTCTGTGTCCGAGACTTTCACAATAAAGTTCATGACCTTTATTTAAAATCAAAACATCTTCTCTGTCAGCCTGAAGAAACTTTATGAATTAAATATTTGGTTTTATTTGATAGAGATCATGTGTGACTCGAGGAGGAGCAGCTCAGAACCCAAACGTCTCTTCAGATTAAACATGACGGCTCTAAAGCTTAGGACATGAAGTTCATTCAACTCTGTAACAAATGAAAAACTCCTGTTTTAATCTGATGTATGAGACTTAAAAAATGATACTCTCAGAGAAATCGCCATAAAATTAACAAAGATAATAATTTTGAAAATGTGGGCGTAACCTTTGGTAGAGGGGATCCTTCTGCTTCGAATAGCACCAAAATCTTAGTTAATGCTTCACGCTCCAGTGAGCAGGGACAGTTGGAAATTCACAAAATTCATGTCCTTTGGGCAAGGAAATGTGAGGGTTAAAATACGATCTGTTACATAAAATTAAAAGTTTAGATGGTGTTTTCAATTGTCTGCATAAGATAAGGTGATGTTTTATGATCATGTTGTTTAATGAAAGAAAATGACCACATGATCACATGATCTTGTACCAGGTTATGGAATAATTACATGAAATATCCACTGAATACATGTCTACGGCCACTTCATATGTTTGTTAACCCTTGGTTATGATCCACTCAAAAATGAGATATTTTTTTCAACGTTAGGACATGAAAGGGTTAATTATTTTTAAAAGATCTTGGCATGTGTGTAAAACACCATCTAAACTTTTAATTTTATGTGACAGATCGTACTTTAACCCTCACATTTCGTTGCTCAAAGGACATGAATGTTGTAAATTTCCAACTGTCCCTGCTCACTGGGAAGCAGAATGATCCCCTCTACCCAAGGTTACGCCCACACTTTAAAAATTATTATCTATGTTAATTTTATGGTGATTTTTCTGAGAGTATCGTTTGTTCTGTATAAAGCCTCCAGCAAAAACAAAATACATTGAGCCAGCAATAAAATCATTTAAATCACTTATTAAATTAACAAAATAATAATAATAATAAAAATAAAACAAATAATTACATGTAAAAGTGCAATAAAAATCAAACATAGTAAATAGAAATACCACCTAAAATTATAAATGAAAATTTAAACAAAATTTATAACAATGATAAAAGTCACAATCACAACACTTTAATTAACTACAGTTTTAAAGAACTTTTAAACTGTTTCGCTAAATGAGAAAATTCATTCCGAAGTGTTGCTGCCCTGTATCAGACAGAAAACTGACCTCTACTGCTCTGACTTTTAGGAAGATGAAGTGCTGAACTTTGACGAGTTAAGTAAGAATGAAATTGAAAATTTAATTTAAAATAATGAATAAAGTGCATTGTATACTCTCTTGTCTTTCATAAATCTTATAAATAAAAACTCAAATTTGGAAGATGTTTATGTTAGACTGTAAGAATCTGGAGATCTCTAAACTACGCAGCCCGCGAGGGGACATGGGGATTTTTTTTCTTTTGCGTTCCCACGCATTACCTTTGCGTTACCTTGCAATACTTTTGCGTTCCCACGCATTACCTTTGCGTTCCCTCACAATACTTTTGCGTTCCCACGCATTGCCTTTGCATTCCCTCACAATACTTATGCGTTCCCACACAATACCTTTGCGTTCCCTCACAATACTTTTGCGTTCCCACACATTACCTTTGTGATACCTTGCAATACCTTTGCATTACCTTGCATGACCTTTGCGTTCCCTCGCAATACTTTTGCGTTCCCTCGCAATACTTTTGCGTTCCCACGCATTACCTTTGCATTCCCTCGCAATACTTTTGCGTTCCCACACATTACCTTTGCGTTCCCTCACAATACTTTTGCGTTCCCATGCATTACCTTGCGTTCCCTCACAATACTTTTACGTTCCCTCACAATACTTTTGCGTTCCCACGCATTACCTTTGCATTCCCTCGCAATACTTTTGCGTTCCCACACATTACCTTTGCGTTCCCTCACAATACTTTTGCGTTCCCACGCATTACCTTTGCGTTCCCTCACAATACTTTTGTATTCCCACACATTACCTTTGCGTTCCCTCACAATACTTTTGTGTTCCCACACATTACCTTTGTGTTACCTTGCATTAACTTTGCGTTCCCTCACAATACTTTTGCGTTCCCACGCATTGCCTTTGCGTTCCCTCACAATACTTTTGCGTTCCCACACATTGCCTTTGCGTTCCCTCGCAATACTTTTGCGTTACCTCGCAATACTTTTGCGTTACCTCGCAATACTTTTGCGTTACCTCGCAAATGTTTGATTTGTTTATGAACTGAATTAAATCAGACTTTTATTTTGAAATATCTGGTTACCAAAACAGGATGTGTCGCCACAAGTTTGTGAAATTGGCATTGATGTTGCGTGGCTGTACTGTGATAAAATATCGACATATGACATATTTCCATGCAGAGCTGTGTGATGTAGCCACCATAATATATTCATTCTGAAGCTGAGTTAAAGCAGTAGGCAAACTCGCTAATGGTAAACATGTGAGTTTATTAATAAACCAGCAGGCACAACAGTGTTTAACGACTTTTGCGAGGTAACGCAATACTTTTGCGTGGGAACGCAAAAGAAAAAAAATCCCCCATGTCCCCTCGCAGTCTCAGTACTAAACGGGTAGAAGGACAATGAAAATCGGATCGAGTTGCACTTCTAACAAAATGTTTTTGCAGAACCAAAATTTTTCATAAAGTTGAAGGGAAAGTATACTTCCCCAAACTATATTGCAATAACATAAATATGAATATATCAAACTATAATAAAGTGTAAGCAAACATTCTGCAGTGATGTAATGACTAACCCTCTTAATTATACCAACAGATTTATGTAATTTGCTACAAAACCAATCTTTCCACCATATGTTCTCATCAACAATAACTCCAAGAAATGTTGTTGATGATACTCGTGGTATTATTATACCATTAATAGCAATTTTTAGACATTTTTTATTTTCAATATACATGTATGACTTTTTGCCACTGAAAATGATGAAATTTGATTAATAATCTTGCATCTTTCAGGATCGTAAACAGCCGGATGTTTGCGACAGGTTTTTCCATGACGTTCCCTTCGAGGCGGATTTTGCGTCGGACGTGCCGGAGCTGCAGTCCATGGCGTCCATGCCGGGCGTGGACGGCTTCACGATGAAGGTGGACGCCCTCTACAAGGTGACCGGATGTTTGATTGTTCGGCTGAAAAGGTTCAAGTGACGTCACGAAGCACAGCGAGGAGGAGAGGTCGTCAGCTTACAGCTGCTCCAGTCGTGAAATGAAAAACGATCATTACTACACGAGTTACGAGTCGTTAGGTGCCGCATGTTTGTTGATGTTAGCCGCTAATGCTAGCATCTTAACATATAGAACGAAAAAATCATCATGGAGCCATTTGGTTCGGAAGTTTTGGACCTTTTCTTTGGTTTTGTTGAAAACTCATCATCTTCATCAGATCCGGGTCACGTCTGACATAATTGTGAACTAATGTTTGTATCTTGGTTTTGAAATTGGATCTTAATCTGTACTCTACAACGGTTTCCTCAGACGTTTTACTTCCTGCCCTCCATTTCAAATTGCCCATCAATCAAACCAACGTGACTTAAAGTGCCTGTGTCGTCAAATTTTTGTACTACATGTGAATGCGTTTTTAGAAAGATAACATTGGTAAAATCTTGCAAAAGAAATTTCATGTCGCTGAGATGAACAGTTGTTGAGATATTCACATGTAAAGAAACAGGAAGTGATGTCAAAGGGGAATGTCTGCATGTGAACAAAGCAATGTTAAAACAGCTAAAAACCCAGACTGTAGAGAAGAATCTGATGTTTCTTAAGATTATTTTGAGTCTCTATCAGAAATGTAGAAGAGTTCAAATAATATTGTTTTAATAAACAAAGACCAGAGAGTTTTCTTTGTTAAAGAATTCCTCTCTGATGTCACTTCCTGTTTCACTTTGGCTGAGCCACGTTCAAAAGAAAATATGCCAGTTATGGGACAAAATGGGTTAAATAGTGTGTTTTATTCCAACTTTCTTAAATATAAAGATGTTTTCTTTGACTTTTTGTATTTGATGAACATGCAGGTCACAGGTAGTTTCTGGAAAACCCTGAAAAAATTTGAACAGATTACAACCTTCAGGTCCCGCCCCCTTGCTCTCTGTTAAGCTTAAGCCCAACTTCCTAAGCTCCTCCCACACAGCACGGCCTGAGTCAGGAGCTTGAATGAGAGTGTGCATGGCTGCGTACTGGGGCGGGGGGTGGCGCAGCTCATTCACAAACATGATTGACACCTGTAAGACTGGGCTTTGATTTTATTTTGTTTAAGTAGCAAAAGGCTAACTAGCAGCCAAAATCGGCTAAAATTAGCTAAGCACTAGGTAAAATCAGCAAAAGATTACCAAAAATTAAAAGTAGCAAAAAGCTAGCTAAAATAACAGAAWGAGAGCTAAAAGGTAAATATATCGAAAAGCTAGCTAAAATAACAGAATGACAGCTAAAAGTTAAATATATCGAAAAGCTAGCTAGAAGTTAAAAGTAGCATATGGCTAACTAAAAGCTAAACAAAATCACTAGGTAAAAGCAGCAAAAGTATACCAAAACCTAAGTAGAAGAAAGCTAGCCAAAAGTAGCAGAACAGCAGCTAAAATCTAAACGTATCAAAAGGTTAGCTAGAAGCTAAAGGTAGCATGTGGCTAACTAAAAGCTAAAAAAAAAGCACTAGGTAAAATCAGCAAAAGTATACCAAAAATTAAAAGTAGCAAAAAGCTAGCTAAAATAACAGAATGACAGCTAAAAGTTAAATGTATCAAAAAGCTAGCTAGAAATTAAAAGTAGCATATGGCTAACTAAAAGCTAAACAAAAGCACTAGGTAAAATCAGCAAAAGTATACCAAAACCTAAGTAGAAGAAAGCTAGTCAAAGGTAGCAGAACAGAAGCTAAAATCTAAATGTATCAAAAGGTTAGCTAGAAGCTAAAAGTAGCAGAGGCTAGCTAAGAACTAGAAGTAGCTGAACGAGAGCTAAAAACTCATAAAATAGATCACATATACTGAACTAGAAAACAGGAACGGTAGATTTGAACAGATGGGACCACCGCGAGGAGCCAGAGGACTTTTGTTTTTTCAGAGATTATCTGTCTGATATCAATCTGTCAGGACGTAGTGACAGTTTGAACAAATACGTCAAAAATATATTTTTATAAAAGTTACAGACTGCAGCTTTATTAGCTATTTACACGCTGCTTATGTGATTGACAGGTGGAGGCGGGGCATCAGTGGTACCTGCAGGTGATCTACGTGATCAGCCCGGAGTCGCGCTCCGGCCCCAGGCTCCAGCGCTCGCTGACGACTCGGCTGACCCGCCCCAAACGTGACCTGGTGGACCGCGGCGGGCGCCTGGCGCTGGACGAGTCGCTGGTCTACGACAACGAGGGCGACCAGGTGAAGAACGGCACCAACATGAAGCCGCTGAGCCTGGAGGTCGGCCCCTCCCCCACCTTCAACGCCCACGTGGGCAGCTCGGTGGGCGGGGGCTTGGCCGCCCTGGCCCTGCTGGTCCTGGTCCTGCTGGCGTCCTGCTTCCTGTTCCGCCGCTGCCGGCTGACGGCCTCCAAGGAGAAGGGCTTCCCGAAGCCCTGCGAGGAGTACCCCCTGAACACCAAGGTGGAGGTGTGCCTGGACAGGTGTGTGGAGAAGAACTTCAGCAGCAAGCCCTGCACCGTCAGGAACGTCAACATCAACCGCAACCAGGAGCCCCGCGCCAAGGTCAAGCAGGTCAACCTGGAGGTGAAGCTCCACAACAACCTCAGCGACGGCACCGAGGTCTGAGACCGGGTCTGACCCGGCACGGACTAAAATAAACGTGTTTGTACTTCACGGAACCAGATATTTGTATTTTTATACCACTTTGGACAAAGGGAAGAGTTCAGGCGACCGGGCTACCTCAGGAATCCACAAACTGCTCGGCTGAGCCAAACAGCCGAAACAGCCGGGCTTCCAAACATCTTTAAGCTTCTACTTGATGCTCGTTTCAGCTGATTTGTAGCTCAAGACACTGTTTTTTTTCTCCTGCTATTTTGCTGCTTTAAGTGTCGTCACTGTATCGCTCCGTTATCCAGAAACAACTCTGAGTTGGTTCATCCTGAGTATAGGGAAACCCTGAGTTTGTCACCTTGGGAACCAAACACCTGGATATACTTCAGTCAGAATCTCCGTCCAGTAAAGTTTAACTCTTGAAACAGCCCAACTCTGTGTTTTCATCTCGATGATGACTTTGTGTTGCTCTTTACTCAGGGTTAAGGTACTCTGAGTTATTTAACATTAATGTAGCCTTTTTTTTTGGAACCCCCCTCCTGCTGGAGGTGATTTAATTCCAGGTTTGTGGATTTAACTCCGGGTTTGTGGATTTAACTCCAGGTTTGTGGTTGAACTCCAGGTTTGTCAACCCCAGGTTTGTGGATTTAACTCCAGGTTTGTGGTTGAACTCCAGGTTTGTGGTTGAACTCCRGGTTTGTCAACCCCAGGTTTGTGGATTTAACTCCGGGTTTGTGGATTTAACTCCAGGTGGATTTAACTCCTGGTTTGTGGATTTAACTCCAGGTTTGTGGTTGAACTCCGGGTTTGTGGTTGAACTCCGGGTTTGTGGTTGAACTCCGGGTTTGTGGTTGAACTCCGGGTTTGTCGACCCCAGGTTTGTGAATTTAACTCCAGGTTTGTGGATTTAACTCAGAGTTTGTGAATTTAACTCCAGGTTTGTGGATTTAACTCCAAGTTTGTGGATTTAACTCCAGGTTTGTGGTTGAACTCCGGGTTTTTCGACCCCAGGTTTGTGAATTTAACTCCAGGTTTGTGGATTTAACTCAAAGTTTGTGGATTTAACTCAAAGTTTGTGGATTTAACTCCAAGTTTGTGGATTTAACTCCAAGTTTGTGGATTTAACTCCAGGTTTGTGGTTGAACTCCGGGTTTGTGGTTGAACTCCGGGTTTGTCTACCCCAGGTTTGTGGATTTAACTCCAGGTTTGTGGATTTAACTCCAGGTTTGTGGATTTAACTCAGAGTTTGTGGATTTAACTCAGAGTTTGTGGATTTAACTCAGAGTTTGTGGATTTAACTCGAGGTTTGTCGGCCCCGCCTCGCTCCGGACGGCTGCTGTGACAGTTCTGATGTTCTGCTGTTGCTCCGAGGCTGAAGGGTGAACCCAGAATGATGCCTTCAAGTGCCGTTAGGTTTGTTTTCACGCGAGCGATCCGAGCCTGACTTAGAGACGCCACTTTGACCTTATGGTTTATTTTGGTTGGTTAAAGTGCCGCACGCTGTTTTTCTTCACCAAATTAAAAGAAGTTTAATCTCAGAGCGTTAATTTGATTCTGTTTTCCTGCTGAAGCCTTAAATCACTTCTTCTAAAAGACGCCTTGGTTCTGCCCAAAGACCCATCAATCATCTCAGACGTTTGTGGTTTTGTTTCTGACTCTGATGAACCCGTCACATTAAAGTTACTGTATTTTATTTTGAAGTGTCTGACACTGGTTCAAACATTATTTATGTTTTTACTGATCCATCCTTTTTACGTTTCCACTGTGTGCCTATCAAACAGCAAGAGAATGGGGGGAAATAACATTATATTTTTGGTGCTACTGATTTTTGGAGAAAAAAAACAATATTTGTATGATGCCTGTATTTGGTGCCTTTTTTTTTAGAAATAAAATAAATTTAATATTAAAAACATGATCTGTGTTTGTTTTTTAGCCCCTCTCGTGTCTCAGTTTGTTTGTTTTACTACAAAGTAAACAGTTTGACATTGTTCGTAGCAGCAGGGTTTGTGTCGGCAGCTTTGAGATGTACGAGCCGTCCCTGAAGGCATCACCTGAGTGAGAACAGGTGTGGCCACCTGTCTTTTCACAAAGGATTCCAGTTTCCAGCAGAGCTGAACTGGTGCAGGAAAACAATCCACCTTTAAAACCCAAGGTGAGCTTTTCTGTTTTTATTTCAACAGTTTTTGAAAATATCAATCATTTGCTTCTCTGGATTAGTTTAATATTTGATTAACACGAGTTTAACAAAACTGATTAAACTAATCTAGACTTCCTGTTTGGTTTGAACTAAAACCTCCCGATGTTCAGGAGTTCTGAACTTTAACGAGATTTAAAACTTATTCAGGCATTTATGTTCTTTAAATTAAACAAATTGTGTCATTTTGAGAGATAAATCTCAAATTCAGTACAACGATGCATTAAGCAAGGCAATATCTTGCCATTCCTTCATTTTTAAAAACTCAAAACAAAAATTTAATCAAATTCTGATTATTTTTATGCAACCAGGAGATATGTTTATTTCACGTTTCGTCTCACATGAATCCATTGAGCCAGGCGTGGGCAGTTCTGCATGTTTTACCTGTTTCTCTGCTCCAACACACCTGATATGAATCAACAGATGATTATCAGGTTTCTGCAGTACGGAGGACCAACACTGACATAATTAGAAATAAAAACAGAATTATATGAACCACTAAATAAATACACTTAAAATGCACCAATTAAATTAAAAAAGGAGAACTTTATCTCCTGTTTTATATTT